GATAAAGGAGGTTGAACCACAGCCTGCCTATGGCACTAAAAATGCAACAGAAATGAATATATACCTAGCAACTGGCTACCTTTTCACAACACCCCCCAAAAATCACTGTGCCATAGGGCTGACTACAGTATGAACTGATATAAAGCAGTCTGGTTTTAAGCAGGGTGTTGAAGGCACATCTCTTCCAACGGATGATCAAGATGGGTTTAATTGCTTTGGCTATTCTGATGCTCGCCATTTCAGAACCCAATCTGGTGCTCTGTGTCTTTGTTTGTTTGCTTAATTAATTTTCACCTGGTCTCCGTTTGTCTGAACGACGTTTGCTAGCTAGCAATTTTAAAACTGCAGAGGTGGAAGGGAACCTATGGATCGTCGAGTCCAGCCCTTGTCTAGGAGGCACAGCAGGGAATCGAACTCCCAACCTCTGGCTCTATAGCCTGATGCCTAACCTACTGAGCTATCCAGTCATTATTCAATCTGGAATGCTGGTTTTTGTTCTTGGAAAAGTCTCAAGTGAAAAGAGGAGGAGGAGGAGGAGAAGACCCAGAACCAGGAGGAGGAGAGAAAGCAAGCTTCCCATGTATCAGACAAAAATAAAAGGCTTTCGACCTACCTCTTTGGGATAGCTCCCCTCCGGACCAAGGACTGAAGATCTGGTAGTAGACCGTGTGAGAAGCAGCAAAACACGCAGCAGAGTGTTCTCTCTGAAGTCCCCCCCATGTGTGCTGGGCAGATAAGAGAGGTGCCTCTTCCTTTTTAGGCATTCTCCGGGGATCCCACAAGATCCGCCTGCCCCTGAGCGCTCTTCTCCAGCTGATGGAGGGGCTTCCCTTAGCTTCCCACTTGAAAAGAGCATCGCTCCAGCAGCTATTTGCAACTGGGACCAATTCTGGACGCAAAGCGATCCAGAGTGTTTCAAAGACTCTCCGAAATTCACTGGCACGGCAGGGTGGGGCACGTGGGTTCAGATATAAGGGCATGGAAACACTGCTTTTTTTTAAGAAGAACAATTCTGAGGATTTCCCAGGTGGACCGGCCAGTGGCTGGGGAATTTGGGAGCTGTAGTATGAAAAAGCGGTGGCGCACAATGACTCCTGGTCCCCCAGGAGCAGCAAATCAGCTCTGGCTCACAACCTGGAATTTAAAAGATCTACACCAAGTGTCGAACCCTCTCCTCAAAATGGGTTCAGCACCTTAGACACCTTCTTTAAAGTGCAGACTAAAATCCAGAGCGGATTTTCCAATGCCACCAACCTACACACACACACA